CTCAGGATATCTACGAGGCGACTGCACAAATCTGCGATGCAGATCCTTGCACAGTGCTCACAATTCGCTTGCTATCTCTTCAGGATAAAGATTGTGTATATATTGATGAAATTTATGTATATGCGGACCCTGTTGAGTCAATTGATGCAGGAAATCAGGCTATGCAGCAAGGAAGCTCAAACGGAGGTTCCCTAGTGGCCATGCTCGTCCCTGCGCTTATGCAATTGTCCAAATCAGGTAACAGACATGTACTAGACACACATGCGTCTGGTGAAGTGCAGAAGGATGGTAAAATTGAATCTGGGTTGCCAAAAATAGATGCAACTGAGATTGCTAATAGGAAGAACCATATTAAAGAATCGGCAGTTAATCGGCAGTATGAGAGGTTGCAGAAAGGTGATGAGAGTGCATCTGAGGCAGCTAACTTCCAGCCATCCACATTGGCTCGTGTTCAGCCAGAAGACATGCAAGACTTGCCACAGGAACGTCTTGAAAGAGCTTTGGAACAGCTTATTTCTCGAGTAAGTAAAGTAGAAGATGTATGCTTGAGGTTTGAAGAAAAAATACTTAAGCCCATTGAGAGTATGGAGGCAAGGCTTCAAAAGGTAGAGCAGCAACTGGAAATATTTGCTAAAAACTCTCAGAAATCTGGAATGTCACATTGTGGGAGAATATCTGCTCCTTCAGTCTCATGCAGTCAATCCAACTCCAGCTCATTCCACAATGAGGGAAGTAATTATCAGCCTTGTGAGCAATCAGGATTGGAAAAGGAGTTTTCTTTTAGTAACATATCCAACTTATCCCATAATGCACCCAATTCACTGAATGCTCCATATTCTCATCCAAGTCTTGTGGTTAGTGCTCCTGAGTTTTTGTGCGATGGGTACGAAGAAGACAATGATGATTTGGAACAATTGAAGGATTCTCCTTGTGTAAAATCTAAGCAAACTTCAATTAATGCAGCTTTAGCTGCAGCACTTACTGGGTTCTTGTCTGCTGCTACAACTCATTCTTCAGAACACATTGAAACGACTTCTGGATTTACTAGAGTGGGTGAGAAAAACCAACATTCACAACATGCTGTATCTCTTCAATTTAATGAAAACGACTCCTCCACTGTGGAAAATGGCTGCGAAGAGTCTTCGCATTATACCCAAACTTTTGCAGTTGCAGCCCCTGATTTTACTGAAAAGGAAATCGGTGATGAAGAGCAATTAAACAACACCCAGTCTCCTTCAGATTTAGCTTCTGTAATTAGAGATGACAAGAATTGCTATTGTAGTGAGATAGCTTCTCCAAACGTTCAACGTGAAAACCCTGCAGCTACTGCAAACTCATGGTATTTTACTGGAAATAAGAGCCTGCATGATTTGGGGTCAACTTCTAGTGCTGCATGTGCTGGGAAAAGTAGGACATATCTTGATAATGGACACTTAAGTGAAATATCTGAATCAAGTGCACAAGACAGTTCTCTTAAAGAAGATACTCGTTGCAGTTCTATGGGTAACAGTATCGATTCTGTACTTGATCAAGCTGAAGACTTGGCAAATGACAGTTGCCAGATTATTGGCGAAACTAAACTAAGAGAACCCAGCAGTGTCTTCGTTGACGATGTCGGTAAGTACATTACTTCAGAGCAGGATTCAGGACATGAGTCTGGGAATACATCTGATACACTACAAGAAAATGCTGAATGCACCAAGTATGTAGCTGTAGAAGGGTGCTGTAAAGATAACTTGACTGGAAATTGTGAATCTTCACGTGCTTCTTTGTTGGATTTTGATATTCCTATTCTAGAAGTGAAATTCGATTTTAATGATTACACCAGTCTTACGGCCCCCCTTGAAGTTCTTTTAGATGGAGCAGCAGAATCAAATGTTGAGGCTCCTTTCATTCAGGATACTGGTGATGTAGTTTTGAGTGCTGAGGAAAAAAACATTGTCATGGATGATAGTGAACCAACAGCCATTGGAACAAGTGACCATCTTTTGGTGGATGTGGGAATTTCCTCTATGGATGTGCCTTCGAACATGGAGGATGGATTGTGTAACCTCTCTGGTCCCAGCAACCCGGAAATGCCCGTCTCTCTCATCTGAGTGTACCCCTTCCTGAAATAGAAAATGTACATATCTATAACTATATGAAGCTACACACCATCTTGCCCTATTCTGTGATCATCGGTTTGTATCTGAGAGCGGCATAATGTGGGTACATTGCTTGTTTCTCATTATTAATATGTGAAACCTAACGGTGCACGTTCATTAATGGCATCGTTCATTTTCACTTCCACACACAGCTACTGAAGAGGGGTTTATTTCTAGCTCCTCTCTAGCTTTCGTTGCTAGTTTTTCTTATTTAAGAATCTGCATTTTCATTTACTACATCTAGTTTCTATATTTTTAATGGTTAGCCTCAATAATTGGATTTCATTCTCCTCTAATTTTCATTTAGTATTTACTCATTTCTTGTTTTTTCTGACATGTGAACTTCTTCACATCTCCGTTGGCCTTTAGCTTTGCTTCCTCCTGCTGTTGTCTTCCATACAGTTATGTGATAGTGCCTTAATGGCATATTTGGTAAGTTTGTGTGGGCAACCATGGACAATATTAAGGAAGTAAAACAATTTGATTGTTCAGTTGTTTTCGTTACTATGTACCAAACATGCTGTAAACGTGTGCATAAGGTGAGTGCATTGGGAAGATGAAGGCAATGTTACCTTTGTTCCCCTTCTTGGTGTATGTGACTGGTGTGAGAGGGGTAGGCCCCCATTTGACACCCCTTAAATCAGATCTCTCTCTTTTTTTTCTACAAATTTATTTTCAATCACATATTCACACAAAAAAATATTTTGCACGTAAACTTGAAATTACTACATTTTAACAATATATTTTTAAAAAAATCACTATTTCAAAACTTATTTTAATGGATGTCAAACAAGGATGTTTGGTCGTCGATGAACTTAATTTCGGTAATGCTAGTCTTGTGTTTAAGAAAATTTTTAAGAACGCTGTTAAGTAGCTGCTGTTTTTATTTGAGACTTGAACTGTATTGAGATTTTATTGTTATATGGCTGAGGACTCATTGTAGGTGGAAAAATGCTTTCTTGGTGATTGATGATGGGAAAACTCCTTTCAGGGTTTGGTCCATGACAGGAGAAGGCGCAAAGAACAATCAGAAGGAAATTACAAGAATGAACCCACTCATCAGAATCCCACACAAAAAATACTATAAATTTATAGACAAATCTCTTATTGGCCCTTTGAATATCATAGGCAATTGGTCCACACCCAAGGACATTCCAATTTTTGTACTGGCCTGTCATGTTCCTCTATATAATGCTGCTCTGAAAATGGTTAGGAGTCACTAAAAATAGGAGCACAAACCAAGTGCACCACACGGGATAGAAAATTCTATACGTTAATATGGTAAGATCACCCAGTCTATCGATTACGTGTGATTATTTGTGTCATAATTAAATTTTTACTCTATTCTTCCTCACTTTTTTACGAACTACCACTCAAATGACGATACGTGTCATCAAGTAATATATTGCATATTACTAGATACCTATTTATATATCAAGTGAATAAAATTTGTAGAAAGCTAATTTTACTGGCAGAAATTCATTATAAAAATATAATTATGTGATTCTAGAACCTACATTACTATCAAGGCAAGTTGAATCAAAGAATATGGTGTTGTTTTACGAAGTTTTTGATAAAAAAATTTAGCAAATTTTGTTAAAAGTCGATGAAATGAGTACTTGAAATATTGATAAAAGTTGTGGATCTCATAAAATGGATGGTTAAAATGAAGTTTAATCAATTGAAAAATTTATTAAAATTTTATCAAAAACACTTTAATTTCTTGCAAAATTACCTCATGAACATAAAGATTCTTGATATAGTTGGGCGCCAATATATTCAACAATGCGTTTTACGTTAGAAATAAAAACAAATTCCAAGGTGAAACTTAAGCATGAACCTGCTTATGTTTCGTACTTTTAAACACTTAAATTACACAAATTTTATTCACTTCATACATGAATAGATCTTGTATAATTTGTAATGAATTAACTCAATGATTTTCATTTTTTTTGAATTTTGGTTTAATTTTATTAACTTAAATGAGTCAATTTAATTTCTGGATAAAAATAAAAGAGAAACTAAAAAATAAATTTGGTTAAGAGAGAGAGAGAGAGAGAGAGTAAAAAGTAATTGCATGTTTGAGCCTCATTCTCTAAAAAATTATTTTTTCCCCAAACTCATTTTTAACCACATTTTTCTAATAAATTATTTTGTACGTAAATCAAATTCTTCTTCTATTCTTTACCACATATTCTCTTAAAAAAAATCATTATTGCAAAATTTATTCTCCCAAAAGGGACTCCAAACAGTAATACTTGGACATGGGTCATCATTTAATTGGGTGGTTTACATTCTATGGAACTTTTTCTTTAGGAAAGTGTTACATGTAAATAATTGTTTACATAAATTTTGCATGATTAAAACAATTAATTTTATTTTTTATTTTTTGGTATAGTAGAGACTTCTTCATTTTGTAAATTCAAAAAATTGAAAGGTTGTTCTTCGTTCTAACTCCAGAATCTAATTTATATTCCAACAATTTTATAGTCTTAAGTCATAATCTCGCGTAACCTTGACATATTTGCGCTTATTCGATTGAGGCTATTGGAGGGCAAGGGGGGCATGGGAAATTATGCATTACTTAAATTGATAAAAATAGATTCATAAAGATCATGTTATGATTATTCAATGGGTGATTAGGATATGGGAATCTTTGAAGTAGCCCACTTGATGAGTGCAAAGAGAGGGGCCAAATGTTTGGTAACATTTGCAGTTTTGCTGTCCCTTTCTTTCTGATTTAAATGGAACTACATGATTCACACAAGGATGCATTTATATCAATACAAATATGAGTGAGTTTTTATATATATTTAAGATTCAACCATGCTATTTGTACAGTTTCTTTGACAAATGCGTTGAATAAATATTAATACAAATATGAGTGAGTTTATATATATATATATATATATAAGATTCAACCATACTACTTGTAAAGTTTCCTTGACAAATTCTTTGACAGAGGCCGAGATGACAGCTTTTGTGAAAACATTTCTATACAGAAAGCTTAATTCTCTACGATTTTTGGGAGGTCACACTTGTAGTAGACTCAGACACCAACAATTGGTTCACTTCCCAACTTTGTCTGGGTGCAACCCTGTCATGTACTGGTACATATTCCTACAAAATATCCAATCAAAATAAAGAAAAAAACAGTAAATCATTTCTTTTAAGTGCCTCTCTTATTGGTCATCCTCCAATAATTCAGTTCCAACCCCATCAAACCTATGGGCATGTTTCAAAATAATATTTTTATGTTGGAAAATAAGTACTTGTTTTTAAGGTAAGCCAAACACTAATAATTGTAATCAAACCTCCAATTTCTTGATCAACTCTTCTGCTGAGTCTGCTACAACAACTATCTGTCTTGCTGAATCTTCTATGAAACCTTCCTCCACTCCTTTGTCAAACAATGCAAGTAAGCTATTATAGTAGCCACACACATTCAACAATCCAACCTGTTCAAAGAAAACTTTCAAAATTTCGAACCATAAGCTATATAAGAAAAGAATGAGTGAAGAAAAATTTACTGGTTTTTCATGAATTCCGAATTGAGACCAAGCTATTATTTCTAATAATTCTTCCATGGTTCCATAGCCACCTAAATTAAAAAACAAATAAATGTTAAAATGGAAGTGAAATTGTGTTTGCATGAAGAAGAATTAATACCAGGAAGGGCAATGAAAGCATCAGCATTTTTTGCCATTTCTGACTTTCTTTGATGCATATCTTCCACTACTTTTAGATCTCCTATAGTTTCTCCTGATATCTGCAACAAATTCATTTCTATCATAGATTAATTCTATTTATTGGGAAGCTAAAAACACATTTATTGATTGTGTAAGAAAATTTTTAATAGAAAGAATAGAATAGTACCTCGTGTGACAGGAGGGCTTTAGGAATTATTCTATAACCAAACATCAAAACAAGAAGAATTTTTTTTGACAATCCTATATGAAAATTTGTAAGTGGACAAGAAACAAGATTATATATGTATTGATGATCACTTGGCAGGAATCATACCCGAGAACATGTCGACCGCCATCAAAGACAGTTTTCGATACTAACCCCATCAATCCTACACTACCTCCACCATACACTAGATCAATCTTTCTGTCAACCTTGACATGGATTAAAAAAATTCTTAATTAATCATATTTAGATATCTCGATGTTCAAATCAATCACAAGACGGGTAATATATAAATGTTATTTACCAGTTGTTTTCCAATCTGAAGGGCTGCATCACTGAATGATGATTTGTAACCTGTTCTACTACCACAGAAAACACAAATTCTCTTAAATTTTCTCATCTTTTCTTCCATTGTAGATGTTCCTTCTTCTCCTTCCATTCTGTCAGGGACTTAGGAAGATTATGTAGGTGAGGAGAGAGAGGTTCTGAGTCTGTGTATGGAAAAAGCAGAAGCAAAAACCCACAGACAGACACACTCCTTGAGGCTTTTAAAAAAAAAAAAAAAAAAAAAAAAAAAACCCAAACACTACCTTTTGTCAGCTAAAACAAGTAATTGATCAGTGTTGGAAAAGAACACAACATGGATCAAGAGAGCCCATTTCCACATCTCCTATTATTGTCTACACAACCATATTGTTTAAATTATAATTATGAAGACAGTTTCTTGAAATCTATAGAAGAAAGCACCACATCAAAGAGAGAGAGAGAGAGAGAGAGAGAGAGAGAGAGAGGTTCTTTATCAGACTGATCTGAGTTAGATAGATTTGTCGTCTACATATGTCTCTGTTATTTAAGAAAAACGTTCAAATTAATGAAATAGACAAAGACTATGGGTTCATTGACTGAGTAAAACAGTATTATATTGCATGCACGCGCACAAACTATTATTTGTTGTTCATCGTTTCCTCTTTTTAATTTTTTAAATAAAATCTTGGAGCATGTTGTGTGGTTGAGATTGGAGAATACGAAAGTAGTGGTGGGGATGGTTGTAATTTCTTGTCACCAGTGCATGTCTGATCTCCAAAGTCAATAATTTGTTTGGTAAGATGGAATTTACTCGAAGAGTCTAAAACGCAATCGAGAAGACTATTATTAGTTACTCTAAGACAGCAAAAACATACATGACACATTTTATAAGGTGAATTATATAATAAATGAATAGTAATAGAATCTTATTGTAGTGTTAGTTATTTCTAATCCTCATACCAAAAATAATCTTACAGCACGGTTCAATGTTTTAGGAGAAGTAACTTGAGTAATCAACATCATTAATGACTTCTTTTGAACTACACAGACATAATTATGTTTCATTCTTGTCGACTTGACAACATGATTACTGTTAAATAATTTTAAGATTAATCCTACACGTCTTTGTAAGAAAGGAAGAACTTAAGCGCAGGACAAGATAAAGCACTAATATGACATAAGAAGTTTTAGCTTTTTCGCATCTTTACTATACTAATAAGGTGATTTGTTGAAGACGATTCAACTCAATGCATGAGAAAAAGAAATAAATTCTTCCATTGGAAACAGGAATAAATGAGGTAGTCATATGTTCCACTGCGACAGGCATGCTTGTACTTGAATGGATTGGAGTCCTAATGCATCTGCAATAAATTTCTAATGTTTCTCCAGCTCAGTTATAGTGTAATTCTCTCTGTCTATTGCTTTGAAAGGCTTGAAGATAACGTTTGGTTCACAGTATAAAAGATAATTGAATTGTACAACAATACAAAACAATAATGGATTGATGGTCCATTTCTTTGCGGTCAATGGTTAGGAAAAAATTCATAAGAAAGAGTTTAAGTATCACACATTTCAAAAATAAGAAAGAATAGATTTTTATTAAAATTTATTTATGATTTAATTAATTTATTAATTACATGTGTTTAGATCACAGATCTATACAATTTGATTGCAAATTAACGATTTAATTAGTCACTTATTATTTTTTTGTTACAAATCGAAATTTTAGTTCACAATTTGTTCATCGATCACAAATCAAAAAAATTTATAAGTCACTGTTTATATATTGGTGACAAATCACAAATATTATAAGTCACAACTTATTATAGTCACAAATTAACAATTTTTTAGATCACACTTTATTTCTTGTTCACAATTTATATTTTTTATTGGTCAAAGATTAACCAATTTAATAGTTACAGTCAACCAAATAATTTGTGATCACCAACATTTGTGACCACTACCTCACCATTGTCATCAACCATAACGCCACCAAAATTATCGTGCGCCAGAACCACCATCGCCACACCCACAACATCACAGTAACACCACCGCCACCACCATACCCAAAGCATCACAGAACCACCACCACTACACCCACAGTATCACAGAACCACCATCATCACACTCACTGCATCACAGAACTCATCGTACCATTGCCACAACCACAGTATCACAGTAGCACCACCGCCACAACCACAGCATCACGGTAGCACCACCGCCATTGCCACACCCACACCCACACCCGCAACATCACAGAACCACCACCACACCCATAGCATCACAGAACTCATCACATCGCCGCCACAACCATTACATCACAAAATTACCATTGCCACACCTCCGTCGCACCATAGCACCACCACCGCGCACAGTACAGTACCACCACCGAACACAACACCACACCACTCACCCAATCGCACCCACAACAGCTTATCACACCACCACTGTAGTGCTCATCCACCAACAGCCCTCACTCCACCATACCACAAACACAACCCTCACAAGAAAAGTCCCCAAATCCACCGCTGGCACTATCAACTATCACGGACCTCAACCCCCACCTAAAAAGTCCAATATCCACCGTCGACACTATCAAAAATCATTGGCCTCCACAACAATCAACACAAGAAAATAGATGAAATAGAGAAAATTTCGAGCAGAGGAAGTGGCGATGGTTCTACTTGCGAGAAGAAAGACACACCAATGGCAAAGAGAGAGACAGGAGATGGGGCGGCGAAGAGAGAAATAGGAGATCCACCGTCGAAACTATCAACAATTGGCGATGTTGCGATGAAGAGAGAGATAAGGAGATGGCGGTGGAGGTGGAGGTGGAGGTGAGATATAAAGAGAGAAAATGAAAGGGATGAATGAAGATAAATTTAGGGTTTGATAGAATGAATATGTATATTTAATTTTGTAGTATAATTATTAATATTTAAAATATATTAATTAATTAATAAAAAATCTAATTTTTGAAATAGTAAACTAAATTTATGATTTATGAAATGGGATATCTAAATCTATTAGTTTGTGTAATTTCAACTAATGGTTATCTTAGTAAGTTTTTGGGCCTTGCATGAAAAGGATTATATGGCAGTCTTTATGATCGCTTGGAAAGTTTGGAACTAAAGTGCATATAAAATTATCCTAAGCTTTACATTTTAAATACGAATTTCAAGATAAGGTGTTTTTATTTTCTCTTCAATAACCAGGTATAAATATTAATTAAAAAAATTTATGTATCATTTATCTCTCTACTGTCTCTCGATTTTCTCACACTCTCCACAACAAATAGGTTGCATCTCTCTACTCTCTATAGCTCCCAGCCTCCATCTTCTCTCGACAGCTGTCTTCTCCCGGTCGTCGTCGTCGTCGTCTCTCTCTCTCTCTCTCTCTCTCTGTAATAGGTATAGTCTTTTTCTCGAAGAGGCATTTGATGGCAACAAGCCTCTAGAGATTTTGGTTGTATGATGCTGATGCAACGATCATTAATGCACTTGTGAATACCTAAAGTGGTATCATGATCGGCATTGCTAACGGCGTCTCTGCAACCTATTCGCCTACTACAAATGGATCTCAAACCGAGTTAAAAAATGGTCAATACAAGAGTTAATCGGCTTCTAAACCTATGTTAAAAACATTGGATCTGAACTTGTGTTTAAAAACACTGAGTCTAAACTCGTTTTAGATCTACAATTGATGATTTAGGTAGTGTACCATGCTTCCGGGTCTAGTTGTGAGCATCTGGGTGTAATTGTAATGTAGGGAAAGGTACAGCAGATGGTAAATACCAGTATATAGATCTACGTGTAGAGATGCAGGTGGTGATGGTACGGAGGATGTTGTGGTGGTGGTGGATTTTGGATTTGAGGTGGAAGTGGCGACGTTTATGGTAGTACCAAATGATGAAGGAGTGGTGGTGGTGGATTTTAGATTTGAGGTGAGAGTGGTAGCGTTTTGGGTGGTGTTGACGGTGGTGGAGTGGTGGTGGTGCGGTGGATGTTGTAGTGGTGGATTTTGTATTTGAGGTGGAAGTAGACTTTTAGGTGGTGCTAACGACGGTGGAGTGGTGGTAGGGTGAAATGAAGAGCTTGTGAATAAATAATTAGGTAATAAAATGGGTAATTGTGACTAATAAAATGGATAACTTTGTAACCAATAAATAATGAGACATGTTTGATTTGTGACCCATAATTTGTGTCTTTATAAAAGATGGCAATGGGTCAAGCTTATGGCTTGTTCTTCTAGGGCTTGGCCCTTGAGCTCGTGGCTGTGGGTACAAGCTCGAGGGCCGAATAAGCTTAGCTCAAGAGCTCATCGATTTTCTTGTTTTTTAATTTTTTTTTTTTTAAAACCCTCTTCCATTATTCAGGCTTGGAATTGGCTATTTAAATTTTGAATAGTCAGAATTAAAAATTGTACATGAACAATTTGTTACGTGTGCAATTTTTTTAAAAAAATTAAAAATAATATTATGAGTTTATTAATATTATTAAATTAAGTATCACTTACTTGACAACACGTAATTTCGGCATACTTATTTTGCGGTCGAAAATAAGTGTCTTACCAATTATTCACGCATATTAATAATTCCAAAATACTTCTTTCAGTCAGTTTTTAACTTCGGATAGAACGATGTTACTTGCACTAAAAGTAGACTCTAAAGCTATAATGCTAACTAGAGGTGTTAGTAGATCTTTTGCAATCGTGGATACCACTGGCCATCGTCGTTCATACTACCGCTAGAAGTCAATTAGTTCTTTTAAACTTTTTCTAGTTGATGCATAACTATGCATATGATGATTAAAGCAATCAATTAATTTAGTAGGCACGGGATATGAACTGGCATTTGATGTCTAATTATATGTGATAGATCATACTAGAAGAACCTGTTTCATCATATCTTTACACGTAATGCCTTCAAATAAATTCCATATTTCAACTTAGTATTCTTCAATATTAATGAGAGAAGTAGGTGCACATGGTGTTCGACTAATATTTGCACCCATTCATTATGCATGAAACTCATACATTTCGTATAAAATTTGTTCTAAATTTCAATAATTAATAGGTATGTTAAAAGTTAAAGCTTTTGAAATTTGATCAATTACGTATTTAGCACTTGATAAATTGCATCGGGGGGTCTATGATACATAACAAAGGAAATAACATATGCAAGTTTTACTAATATTTTCTAAATTTTAATTCCATAGAAAATATAATTTCACTAAATTCGGGTCATTTTTGTTTTATTAAAAGCCACTGCAATAATATAAAGACGTTCAAGCACCATGCAACTAGTAAGATAATACATGATAAGTGTATTTCATACGCTTATTCGAAGCCTAAAATAGCAATGTTTAATAGTTTTTTTTTTTTTGACAAAATATATCCTAAAATAGCGATGTTAAATAGGTAAAGTTCAACAGTTGAACAAGAAATTGAAAGAAACAAAAGAAAAATCCAGAGAAAATAGTGAAATTCAAAATATGGAAACCAAGTTGCAAATAATTCATAGATGAGACCGACGATG